GGTGGTGCGGGGCGGGGGGGGCCACCGGGCCACGGAGCTGCCGCGCCTTCTGGCCAGGAGCATTTTGGGGAGAGAATTCTTTGCCCGTAGCAGCACGCAGCTCCACTCCCGGGCCGGTGCCCCCTTCGGTCCCGCCAGGCTCTCGCTGCTCACTCAGAATTTGCCTGGCGGTTTCTTTTTATCCCTTCGCACCTCCTCTGTACTGATGTGCGGGCACAGCCCCCCCAAGCTGTAAGGCTGTACAGCAGGTATGTTCATCCAGCGCTGGGCAGCACGGGGGGCAGGCCCACCAAAGCCGTGCGCACCTCCACACCTCCACGCGGCAGCTTGCCCCGTTTCTATCTAGCAAAGCGTTACATAGCCATGAAGTTTCCCAATACGCCTACACCTATGCATAACCTGTCCCCCCTTTGTATTAAAATTAGTTTCAAGAGGTCATCTCCATAAGTCCCGGTGCTCCTTTGCTCTTGCCCAAACTGCAGGGTCGGTTTAAGCCAGTTCTTAAGGCAAATTCCTGGTTCTTATCAAGAACTCTCCTTCATAAAGAGCCACAAATCTTCCTGCATCAGTTAGTTCGCACAACAGTTAGCAAAACATCTGAGCACTATCTATCAATTTGATTCTCTGGGCTACACAGCAATCTAGACAATTATTATGCAGCATCTTATCTACTAACATTCCCTTAACCCCCTCTCTCAGTATCCTGTAGGGATACAGGTGTTGAGCCCATCCTGATGTATTCCCCCTTCCCCCCGCTCCCCCCCAAGAGATAAACCATAAATTAAGCCCTGTCAGATATTTCAGCTTCCCTTCCCCAGCAGAGCCATTTTCACCATTAACAGCAGCCGTTGCTGAGGCCAGGGGCGATGGTAGGAAGACTTCCTAGCCTAACTCGCTAAGCGTAGTCTAGCACAGATTCCTTCTGACCTGGCCTCAGGAGGAAGTTTTTGATGACAGCAGGAACACATACAGAATTTCTTACAGAAGCTGACAGCTCTAAGGCTGGCCTGAATGCGTTGGAAAAAACGATTGTGTTGTTGCTGACGGCAGACGCGGTTGCAAGTCTAGTTCCTCAACAGATTAAATCTAATCTCAAAAAGAGTAATTTTAAACAAGAGGGGTTTTTTTTTTCCCTTTTGTTTTCAAGCTTTGTTATATTTTCAGACTTCCCTGAACAACCAAAGAGGTTAGACATGTCTTTGGTATTAACAAAGGCAGAATTCTTTTATGACTGCAGTTTTGAAAACCGAAATTACTTGAGTCTCGAAGACAGAAAGGTCGGAGCTAACGGTTGTGTGGCTCTGCTGAGCGTCACGCTTCGCACCCGCAGGAGTTGGTGGAGATCGAGGCTGCATTTCCAGGCATGGTGAGATAAGCTATCAAGGTGCAGTGCGTTCTTGTGTCCCGGCTTATTTTAAAGAGTAAAAATATATATGCTGTGTTGTGGATGAGGGGTGGATTGGGTAAAATGAAAGTATTCCTAAGGCTGTCTGGGTACTCCCTAGCCAAACAGCATCAGCGAGAAAAGCAAGGCATTTCAGCGTGGCTGTTCTGTCAAGAGCACAGAAGTTCTGTGTTTAAGTAAGAGGAAGCCTACATGAAAGCATATAAATATTCTCAGGTGTAGAAGTCAGCCATAAGCATAAAATACGAGCTGGCCAGATGGGGCAGGTCCAACTGCTGCCCTTTGCGGAGAAGCACGGGAGAGTAGGAATGCGTAAACGGGATTTCCTTCCAGCCCCAGGTTGGGCACAGTTAGTAGAAGCTATATTTCAGGCTTTCTTATCCTGCATTGGTTAAAATACTGCCATTCGGTGCCAAATGTAATTAGAATTCTCTCAAACCAAACTGTCCCCCAAGTCAGGAGGCTATTTCTAAACCATTTAGGAGCCTAAGTAGGGACATTTTATTTTCTTCAGGGTATTTCACAGCATCTTCCCGATCAGAGCCTGCTCAGGAATAAGCCACCTATTTTTATCGTGGGTCAGATGCGCAGCTTGTGCTAATTAACATAGCTGCACCGAGGGCCTTAGATACAGCCTTACTTAGAAGCTGCTATACAACAAAGACAAGCTTGGATTGTCAGGTTACATGACAAATGTGTGAACATACTTGAGGGGGTCCCAGAATGATTTTTACATCTTTCTGAGGATGGCAAAATGCAAGTGGATTGAACCTCCCACCAACTGTATTTCCAGCAAGAGCCATACTGAAGGTGGCGAAACTGAATTAATTTCCCGTAAGCCTGAAGTTTTCTCGTGGGATCTCAAGTTGACGAAAAGTAATTACAGTTTAGTGAATGAGAATTCCATCTATTAAGAGGTGCCATGCCACATCTGGCAAAGAATATCTGCAGCACCAACCGGTTTTGTTTTGATTTTTTTTTTTTTTTTTTTTTTAAAGGAAGCTTTCAGTAATAGAAGTGAAGCAACCGTAGTTGTCTGTAGCTGGGAAACTGATGACTCAGACCCTATTCATGCTGTTGAAAGACTGTTTTATGAGACCCGTCAGAGCCGTGGGTGGACCTGGAGAGGAGTTTGAAGGCAGACTTCATAGGCGGTGATGCCTACAGCGCTGTCTGATGATTGTCCCATCATACGCCGCTGACGGCCTATCCTTTCGGAGGTTTTCTTTAATCTTTGGGTGGTGAGGCTGCAGAAGGGGTCAGGGCAGGGAATTTCACCGTTTCTTTTATCTAAAGAGGTGTACCATCAGGTCAAAAAAGAACTGCTGAAGCAGCACTGTGCCTTAGAGGGGGGAAAGAAAGTATTGGAGTTTGCTTTGACCCTGCTACACCCCTGTGTGTAACCATTTGTAACTGGTGACATTTTCCCATCAATAACAAAAGGGTATATTCCAAACTTGATGAACAAGACTGTAGCTGCATAGCTCCCATGAATGCTAATAGGAATACAGCCTTTCTCCATCCCCATGTAAGTTACTTTGCATATCCTAATAGCGCATTCTCAATGAGCAGCAGGGTCAGTGTTAATCACTCCGTGGCATTCCAAGAGCAGCTACAGGCATCTCTACCACATTCCCCTTGGTCATGTTTTATCTCGCGTGGCTTGATCGGAGCCAGGGAGTTAAGTGTGCACATAGGAATATTAAAAAGATCTTAAGGAATTAGTAGAGAGGGACTGTAAAGGAGATATTGGAGGGCTGATACAACTTGTTGGTAATTTTTAATTAAAAACTATATGCTTTCTGCCTGGAAATGACATACATGTCATGTGTCACCGCTGCTTTTTGTCAATCTTTAAGTCACTCTGTGATTCGGGGCCACAGGGCTGGATGTACATTTAGATAGCCAGTGCCCGGTACCTGAACGTATGTTTTAATTGCTCGAATGACATGACAAGCTATGACTCGCTAAAAGATTCACACAGAAATAAATATACAGCCTTTGTCGGTCTCTGTTTCCCTGCCTGGTACTTGGGAATGGTACTAGAATTGTGGGAAACAGTAATGTCAAGGTAGATCTGCAGCTCCAATGGAGTCCAAACAAGGTGTGGAGTTGTTAAGCAGCATTTGACTGCAAGATGCGTGAGGTGCAGTAAAAGGAGCTATCTAAGAACTATAATAGTATGCCGGAAGCAAAAAATGCTAAATCTGCAGACACATTGCAGAGTAGTCTGTTCTCCAGTGGAAATATTTGCACATATACATATAACTATGAGTATTAGAATCTGGGCCTTGATCCTCAAAACTGGCAGAAACCCTTTTTAGTTAGCAAGGTTCCAACAATTTTCACTCTAAAATGGTTTAAAAATAACCACAACATTTAATTGTTTAATTTAGTATTGCTATGGTTTTAGTGAGTATAAATGAAAATTTATCTTTGGATTGAGACTGTTCTTTCCTAATTTCATATTTTATGTATTTGCTGCTTCCCTTTGGTTACTCAACATGAATTGGTTACTTTTAAATTAATTTTATTTAAACTATATATTATGTACATTGCAAATCTTATGTATTCATAATAGAAATATGCTGTGTAACTTCCAAAACACAGCCAGTAGGGTGCATTGGTTGGTTGATACTCAGTTTTTAAAAATCTGTAAAGAACTGCGTATTTGCTTCTGATTTACATTTTGCTTTGCTCAGCTCAGATATCCTCTGAATAAGAAAATCTACGAGTGAAACCATTCCGTTAGGGTAAAGACAGTATGCAAAAAGGCTTTTGAATATTTATTTCAAATTACTCACAGGTGGATTTTGCTGTAAGATTCTGAATCCCTATTCATATACCTGTATTGATAAATAAGAGTTTCTGTAGTGTGATAATTGAATTTGTTCTGTGTTGGTTTTTTGTTTTGTTTTGTTTTGTTTTTTTTTAAGATGTTCATAGATTCCTTCCAGAATTAGCTGGATAAATCTGTAGTTGAGTCTGGGAATAGCTGTTACTTTTTTTTGTTTTCCTTGAGTAAATTAAAGAACCTTCTCAGGGCTTATCTTGTTTTTTCTCTGAGGGAAGCTTTACACTGTAGTCAAATCTTCCCCCTTTTCTTTTTTTTTTAATTAATTAAACGTTCAGAGCTTGTTAACTTTTGCTCTCTGCTTTCTCTAGCTCTCAGTGTTGGGGAATTTGATTTGTTTGCATCCTCTGTGGGTTTCAGTGTTGTTTTTAAAATGTGGACACCACAACTTTATCCAGTTTCAAATATCCACTCTGTTAGTGCTACATGCAAAGGTAAACGTTTCCACCCACACCCCAACTACTTGTCACTAATCTACTGTTGGTGTACCTGAAGATCACACTAACTTTGGGTTTTTTTTCCCCAGTCCCAGCATCAGCATCAGCATCACATTGGTCACATACAGTGAGCTGCTTCTCTGCTAGAGTTTCTTCAGATGAAAATGATCCAGGTGTAACCTGTATTTTAGCTTTGAAGGTAGTCAGCAGTGTTGACATTATTTGTTTTAATGGAGCAGCTTACCAGGTGAGCCATATCACTGTCATTTCCTTACTGCTAATACTAGCATCACAAACATCCAGTTTTGATTTTTGTATTTACAGGGAGAGAGTGTTGAGGAGCAGCAGATCCATTTGTAACCCTTGTTGAGCTCTGTAATAGAAGTATTTTCATTTGTTTACAATGAAATCTATATTTTGTTCATAATCTTACCGGAGAATGCTTTTTGAGATCTACCAGCTAGTTTTTAATGCATTATACAGCATTGCACTGCTTACGGGCATTGCACTGTGTCTTTGCCAAACAGTAAGGTGATTAAAAAGTGAGTCCTTCAGCTGTTCAGTTCTGTTACACCAGCACAATTACTGACATTCAAATTTATAATCTTTCAGAATTAAATCAAGTTGCACTGTTTCTGTAAGATCATATATTTATTCCATTAAGTTCTTTTGCCTCCTTATAAGTGAAATCCCACATCAGATTTTACATTACTTTGGCTAGGTTTGCAGTCAGGCTGCGTTTATAGTCTAAACTTCTTTTTTTGTATCCTAGGAATTGATTGTTATGGATGTTTAAAATATGGTTATTAAACTTGTCATTGTCTTGCCAACCCAGTGGCTTTCCCTTATGTCTCTAATCTTCTGTAATTTGTACAGTGTAATTTAAAATGTCGGCTCTCTAGTTCCCTTTTCCATAACCTGCATACTGATTTACTTTTTATTTTGGTTTTGATTGAATTTTTAACTATGCTGTTGCACCAAGATGCATGCTTCTTCAGACTTTTTTCTTGAGTGTAGAATACTGGCTTTTTGTCACTCTGGTTAACTCTTCCTCTTAGGTTGGGAAATAAAAAGCTTAAGGATTTTGATAGCTTCCCCCCCACAGGAAGGAGCTGAATGTTACTTGGTGTTATTTAAGCACTGGGATTTCAGCTGTGGTAGAAGGTTTCTTTGCCCTCCTCGGTACTGATAATTTCCCCTTACTGGTGGCATGGCTATCGTAGAATCATAGGCTCACAGAATGTTTTGGGTGGGAAGGGACCCCCAGAGGTCACCCAGCCCAAAAGCCCTGCAGGGAGCAGGGACACCTTGAACCACATCAGGTTGCTCACAGCCCCGTTCAACCTGGCCTGGAATGTTCCCAGGGATGGGGCCTCCACCCCCTCTCGGGGCAACCCCTGCCAGGGTTTCACCACCCTCACTGGAAAGAATTTCTGCCTTAGATCCGGTCTAAACCTCCCCTGCTTCAGTTTAAAGCCATCCCCCCTTGTCCTGTCCCAGCTGGCCCTACTAAAAAGCTTGTCCCCCCCTTTCCTCTGGGCCCCCTTGAAGCCCTGACCGGCCGCACTCAGCTCTGCCCGCAGCCTTCTCTTCTCCAGGCTGAACACCCCCAACTCTCCCAGCCTGGCCTCAGAGCAGAGGGGCTCCAGCCCTCGGAGC